CTTGCTCTCGGTAAAGACTGGAACAAGCTTAATGTCTTGTGGGCATCCACGCTTCCAGGACTCCATAGTCCGTTAATTGTCTCCGTTTGCAAGGCATACATCTGTAGGCATTCGGTTTTTATGAGATCCGCTTTATTACAGAGAATCAAAACTCTCCAGATAAAAATCCCCTCAAATAGGTGAGCAGTGATGAATTACTAAAGCTTTAACCAGTAGCGTGGCATGTGAACGAGCTTTAAGGGATGAAGGTGTGTAACGGTGATACTACTGATGGGGGGCACGCGAGTAGTATGTGATGTTCGTAGAATTTCGCTTTGCGTCTATTGAGAAAGGAAGATCTGTTGCGGAATTCGTGGAGCCACTTTGCAACATTTGCTTGGATTTGACCGACGAATGAGTGGAGTCAATGAATCTCCAGGAAAGTTCAAGAAGACTCGTTCGGGAGAAGATGAGTGTCCAGTTTTTGTAAATAAGATGCAAATTAAAGTTTTGCTTCCCCGTTCACTGGTCTGTAACCGGTCAGTTGACATTTCCTAGTAAATGACTCCGCAGCGAAGGCCTTCTTTCTTTTATTTTCAATGTGAATGCCTCTAATTTCAAAGATGCAGCTACCGGCGGAATGATCCGCAAGTTGATGGCCTCTTTCGGAATGTTTTTCTACATCCACACAGGTCATGTCAGGATGCTGGAAATGCAAACGTGCCGGTGTGAAGTTCGATCCATTGGATGTGGAGAACACAGGAGAGGGGACACCTGTGGCGAACGATGATTTGAAACCTAATAAAGAAGAAGTTCCCGAAAGTTGCCCGAAAAAGAACAGAGTAACGTGTAAATACTTGATCGAGTAAGTCAGTTTTTATCTGCTAGCAACGACTGAAATGAAAACCGATTTGGACATCGGGCAGTACACGTATGACTTACAAAAATCGTCTGTTAGCTTGTTCTTACGATGATTTAGGTAACTTGCCAGTTTAGCACGGAGTTGATTCATCCCATTTCATTAATGGGTTGTACTGAGTGACTCCTGGGTCGATAGAGAGGGTCCTCTAAATAGGAGCAAGCTATTTGAGTTCCGTCTTGACGTACGTTAACCATGACCATCAAAAATGAAAATCTGAACGAAAGCACAAATCGTTTCGCTTTTATCCCTGTTTCACTTGCTATATCAATTTGTATAGTAATGATAGTATTAATCGTTCAGCTGTAACACCCTTCCGGTGCCCAGCTTCCATGCCAGCACCCGAAGGAAGCATGAAAAAAGGCTGAGATACTGTAGGTTGACGAAGCCTAGATAGAAGTATTCAAGATACGGAGGTTGGGTTCAAACTACGGATCTTCTGAGCAGTATTTTTGAGCCTTAACCATTGAAATACTTCTCGCTCTACAATCCAGATGAATGAGGTCCAAATCAGGCAGATACGACTGGTGATATTACCACAAACTCGTAAACAATTTCTCGTTAGTTCGTCCCATACAAATTGGACCTGCACGATAAATACCTCATTTTCGACTGTATAGTCATACATTTTCGCTGAATGGCGCTTTAGGTATCACTGATTTGTGTCAAAAACACTCATCACATGCATGCAGAGACCATTTTAAGTCACCGGGGATTCTATTTCAAAGAAAACTTTACACTTTAGGCAAAGACGAAGCGCGACTGAAACAAACACTTGAAAACGCTATTGCTCCTACGGAGCCTTTCATGAACTCCTCACAGGTTACAAAAATGAAAAATCGAAAAGTTGTGGTAATAGTGATATTCGGCAGATACGATTATTTCAGGCATTGGTGTTTGCGGGATTTTCTAGAATACATCCTCACTTGACTCTCGTTTGAACAAAGTTTTTCCTTCAAATCAGTCATCAGGAGGTCACTATTATAAGACTTCAGGTGAGTAGACTTCACCGTCTGTATAAAATTTGGTGTTCAGGTAGATTATGAGGTTGATAGGAACTTGAAGATTACGTTTAGCTGGACAGCTCCAAGAAGGACAAATCCTGTAGTAGGATGCAGAACGTCTTCATCGACTTAATGGGTCGCATTGAACTATGATTCAGCACAATGAATATCGACCTTTGTGATGCACATTCAATTGAAGAATTAGACAAACGACAGAATCAGGTGAATTTCAGCTGACTGTCCTGTCAACACCGCTTAATTTGTGTTTATCCCAACGTAAAGTAACAGAAAAGTGACATATACCGCCCAGTCACGTTTGGAGTGACTGCCGTCCAACTCTCATATCCAACGATCTATATTCCATCACTCAGTACGAGTTACTAGGTATACTTGAAGGCATACGATAAGGCTCAGTTCTGAGTATATCGCATCAGCTAGTTAGCTTCCACATCTATGAAGCTCCTCAAAAAAGAGAAACTTGAAAACCTGTGTAACATAAAGTGATGGAGTACGGGAACGTGTACATTCCGCACTAAAATTAGCATTAAAGCGATAAGGCTCAGTTCCGAGTATACCGCATCAGCTAGTTAGCTTCCACATCTATAAAACTCCTCAAAAAAAAGATAAACTTGAAAACCTGTGTAACATAACATACGGGAACGTGCACATTCCGCACTAAAATTAGCATTAAGTGAAGGAGACATGACATGAAGGACTGTACAAATTCACTGTAGACGATCTACCCTCATTCGGATGAGTAGGTTTCGATCCAACAGGGAATCGCCGGTCCGCTAAGATGTTAACGACAGTGATAAGTCCGGGTCTTCTGAGGATGTCTTGATAATAGACCGAGTTTTGTCCTTATAAGTTGTGCGCATGTGTATCTGTCAGCATAGTAATACTGTCTCATGGTTAAATAGTGTTCGCTCAATCGTCACAGCTGTTTTTTACTACATACCCTACGCCAACTCCCGAGAATTGAACTAGGGTTCTGTTTAGCGAAAAACACTCATTTACATAGCAATTTCGTTTTGACGTGAAACTCACCTGGAACTCGGCTGGAATTCTCGTTTGTGGTGTCTTCAAGTTGCACCAGGCCGCCTTATGTTTCAGTTGGCACGATATCCGAGATGCTCCGACATGTGTATAGATATAATACATTACTCATAAGGTTGCTCAAAACATCATAAACGAGAGATTCAGCCAGGTATCCCGTCAAAACCAAACTGGTAAGCAAATGAGTGCATTTCTCTAGTTTCGTGCAATTTGGTTTCAAGTAGAGTATAAGGTTGATGGAACCTCGGGGACTATGCTTACCTGATGAGCCTCAGGAAGGGCGAAACCGGTGGTGGGCTATCGAAGAATTTTCAGCAACCTTATGAGTAGTGTATTACGTCGACGCGGTTCTGTTTCCCATTCATTCGGCCAATAATTCAACTCTCATTGAATATCAACCCCTTGGTTTTTCACCATCTCTTGCATCAGACAACTTCGCACACTTGTCATCGATACCTCAAAGTCTGGTTACTACTACTGGCTCGGTGTCGTCTCTGCCACAGTCCTTTACAATGCCATCGTACTTCCCATGAGATCCGCCTTCACGCAGTTCCATGAGTTGTGCCATATCCTTTGGATGTCTATCGATTACGTCATCGACCTAGTTTACCTGGCCGATATATTCGTTGGCGCAAGGACTGGCAAGTTATTATTCATATGAATTGGTTGTTCATGAAATTGGGTCAAGACAGTTGACTAAGTCTAAACTCTGTTATTAACTGGGCCTTGGGCCTAAGTGTTTATATTTGAGCTGTGGTCGGAAAAGCAGTAATTAGTTTTTGTTACAACTCATCAGGTTAGTGTCAGCCGTGTACGTTTATTCGTAACAGATTCATACTTTTAGTCATGGATACATCCAGTAGCTAGATCGTCCGAATGAGTGAACAGCCGATTAGGCCCAGATTTATGCCTAATTCGTATTCTTTAACAGTGTGGATGGTCAGCAGGCACGGGGTGAATTGAATAAACGTCCAAAACTTCTAAAAATAGAGTCATTTATTCATTTGCACGTGATGAGTTGCAATAAAAGGCTGGGATTTTCGCGATCTATCTACAGAATCTCTCATAATAAACGCAAAAAATAATATTATGTTAAAAATTTAACGTTAATTTAAACATCTACTATTTTTATTTGGACATGCATACATTATGGAGGTTGATTGTAAATAAAGTGACACTACAAAAGATGTTGAAAAAACCGCCTGTTCCTCCTATAACAAGTTGAAGGTGGTATGAGATGTGAGACAGCATGTTTAACTTCTTCAAGTGTCACCCGCGCATACCCCTCCTCAATTCTTGCTCTTAACTCCACGAAATTCTTCGGTTTATTTTCATAGTATATGCGAGCCTTGATTATTCTCCAAAACCAATAATCCAGAGGTGTGAGATTGGGTGACCTTGCTGGCTAAAAGTTTGGCAATCCATGAGCAATGTTTCTGTCAGAAAGTTGCTCTCGGAGGTAAGTTCTCACTTGGTTTGAGTGGTGGGGTGGAGTGCCATCTTGTTGAAAGACGGTCGATGACTTCTTGTGCTGCTTGAGTTGCGGGATAACATGCGCCTGCAGCATATGGAGGTAACTGTCGCCGGAAACCGTGGCATCAAAGAAAAAGGGACGCAGTAGACACTTTGAGCAGAATCCCATCCATACAGGGAGATGAGGGGAGTGGAGATTATGGATGAGGTACTCGTGAGGAGCTTCACGGGACCATATCACGCAATTTTGCTTGTTGATTATGCCATCCACAGAAAAATTTGCTTCATTGCTCCATAAAATGTTGGGAACGTTTTCTCCATTGCTCAGCAGCCAGTTAGCGAACATGACACGTTGCTCCTTGTCTTCTTCCGTGATGTTTTGTAATAAAGTGAAATGATACGGGTAGAGATAAAGGTGGCGTCTCATAATACGATGCACGCTGGCGTGGGGAATGCCGTTCAACTGAGACATCTGAGTTATTGACGAAGATGCCATGGTGCTCTGGGACTGAAGTTGCTCGACGGCATTCTGTACAATCACTCAGAGACTTTCTCCCTTTGCCACGAAACTTCACTACAGATCCAGTGGACTCAAATTTCGCAATCAAGCGTGTAATGGTCGACACGGCGAAAGGATCTTTGATGAGACCATGTTTGGTTTTGTAACCACGAAGTGCAGCAGTGGTGCGCTTTCACCAAGGGAATAATAGAGTTTCACAATTTCAATGCGCGCACTGAGATCTGTCTTAAGCAGAAAAAATGTCGGCACTCGCACACAAAACCTCTTTTGTGTGACTACTAATAATAAAAAATTTTGTTACCCTCTCTCTGATTGGCTAAGCTCACTTATCCATCAAACTGTGCGTCTATTATGAAACACCCTGTACATCTTTGTTAGGAGGTTTTGTCCGGCAAATTCTAGAGTACACTGTGCTAACTGGGACTGTTTGGATAATGTGTACCGCACATGGTATTGTTTCCAAATGTTCATCCATTTGAAAAGATTACGATAAAGTACTTACCGTCGACCAAACACTGCGCATGGTACTCAACTATGTTCTCGAAGGGGCTACTTCTTCTTGAGAAGGATGGCCAACTCCATCAAACACTAGAAAAGGAGAACGTCCGTCGTATTGGTATGGTTGAAACAGTTGTTTTGGGCACACAAGGGACTATTTAGATTTGGTTCGACCAACTACTCCAGAAGTTCAGTTTGGTGGAAACCATACCTTTTAAACACCTTCAAGGATTGGGAGAATCACGGGGACATTATATCCGACAGCGGCAGAAGAATACAATCTTTCTACAAATTTTTTGCACCTTTTTTTCAAGTCTCACGTTCTCAGCTTGTAGTTTTGAGCCGTGCTACAGTAGACATGAAAAGGAAGACGATATCTTGGCATATATAGCCCA